TTTGAAATCCCAAGGACAATTTTTTTGTGGAAATAGAAAAATCCATCTGGAACCTAAAAGGACCCCAAATAGCTAAAATAATCTTGAAAAATAATGTTGGGCCCTCCCTGGTGGCACAGTGGTTAAAGCACAGCACTGTAAGCTAGCTTGTAGCCGCTAAAGTGCAAGTTCGATCTCCAGCCAGGGAGTGACCCACACGGGGCAGCAGACCTCTCCTATCTCAAAACTGCACCCCTCAGCAGTGTACTTCATCAAGCTGCCTGTCTATTCACCTCTCTATCTGGTGAATCCTTTCACGGCCCCTGTACCTCTGTACCTCTGGCCTATACCCCAGTTCTGTATGAATATTAAAAAAATAATAATGTTAGAAGTTTCACACATCCCAATTTCAAAACTTGTTACAAAAGCAATGGTGATTGAAACTATGCAGTACAGATTAAAGGAACAGAACAGAGAACCCAGAAATATGACCAATGATTTTTTTTTGATTACAAGAATTCAGGTGGTTCAGATATAGTAGAACTGAGGAGTAGGCCACAGGTGTGCAGGTGAAAAGATTCACCAGAGTGGGGAGCAGCAGGTGAGACAGGATCACTTCCTTGTGCAGGATCAAACTCATGCTGTAAGGATGACAGCACTAAGACTTGAGCCTAGACCACTAGGGAGACCCTATGGTCAAATGATTTTCAGTCAGCGTGCCAACACCATGCAATGGAGAGAAAGGCAAAGCTGGGAAAACTGGAAACCGTATGCACATGCAGAAGAATTAAGTTGGACCCTTACTATACATAATATACAAAAATTAACTCAAAATGGATCCAGGACTTAAATTCTAAATGATAAAACTCTTAGAAGAAAACCGGGGAGAGACTTCAGAACATTAGACTGAGTAATGATTTTTTGGATTTGACACCAAAAGCATAGGCAATGAAACAAAACTAGATACAGAGAAATTGGAACTCTGTGCAATGGAAACAGGAACGTGAAATAGTAAGCTGCTGTGCATGAAGGCTTCTCAAAGATGAAAGAACTACCTAATCATCTAGCAATTCCACTTGCAGAAATGTATATCCCTAAGAACTGAAAGAGAGATTTATATGCCCAGGTTCATACAGAATTATTCACATTAGCCAAGAGGTAGAAGTAAAATAATGGAAAAATGTTCTGATGCATCCCAGGGATGTTTTATTGATTTGTATAATTTAAAATTTGAATTTGACTATCTTTTGGCACAGTGAAAATTCACTACATACTCCTCACTGGTGTTTCACAACCAATAATTTTCCTACCCAGACATCTGCATTCTTGACCCCTAAAATGGATGAGAACCAAGACAGACTTCAGAAAGATAAAGACAGACGCCTGAAGGCTAGTGGGCTGCTCGGTACACTTTTCTTACGGAAGAATTAACAGTCCTGCTCTTATATATCTAACAAATGTGTACAGTAAAACACAGCATTCATAAACAACACGATTCTTTTCCCTGCAGGTTACTTTCCAATTTACAAAAATCAAGGTTTAACAGACACTGTGAACTTACACAACAAACATACTCCTGGTAGATCTATAACTAAGCTGGTGTAAAAAACAAACACATTTTCTTTACATACCCCAGCTGTTGCTCACGAATCTTTTAAGAACCCCCACACCACTCACCTAGTGACTTGCTTGTGAAAGTCTGTAAGTTGTTTGTGTGTCACGGTGACAGCTCCCACGGTTGTCTCCTTTGGCAACCCTTTCAAGGAATTCTCTAGCCATCGACAAAAAGTCTGTACAAAGAAGAATTTTAAAAGGAAGCAAGGCTTACTCTACTGGGATGCTAGAATAGTAACAAAAAATGTAGGTTTTCCTCAATGGTGTTAAGTTCCCCAGACCTAGTCTCAAGATGTAACAAAAGTGCTTCAACCCACAGAAATTGTGAGTTGAAGCAGTCTACAAAAGCATGTCTAGACTTCCATTCAAATGGGCAGCAGACATCATTTTAGACAGAGCCTTTATACCTTGAAAGTTTCTTCTGTTCCTGTCATTATGGTTATGTAATATTTTAAATATCAAACAGCTGCCATAAAACTGGAGAATGAAGATCAAAAGGAACCCAAAGCAAAAGGTTTCAAAAGGTATCAGAAAAAAGGGGAAAACAGCAAAATAAGCAGACATGTCAAAAGTATAGCTACAGAGAAATCATACTAGCCCAGAATCTTAATGATTTTAATTTAATGTCATTTCCCAATAGACGTCTTAGCTTATTACCTGTATAAGCTTTACTGTATTCTCTGGGTTAAAAAATTCTTTTGTTGCTCATTCTTTCTGCTTTTTAAAAGAGTGACTTAAGTCTGCCACAGTCTTATTGCCCCTTTCACATGCTGACTGTTTGCCCCATGCCTTCTTTTCTCCTCTTCCAAGTAAAAATCAAAATTTTTGACTTTCTATGGGTTCTTTTTTGTTTGTTGAATTGTTTGAGTCACCTTAGTTTTTCTTATGTATGCAGTAACACACGTTGGTCAAAATTTTCAGTTGTAAAATAACTTTTATACCTGTTTTTTAAATTATGTATTTTCCTATTATGTTCACTTATAATAGACCAGCATAAAAATGAATATATATGCTATAAAAAAGTACTGCATAGTTCTCCAAATGCTGCCTCCAGGCTGTCAACACTATTCAGGTTAAAAAAAAAAAGCACAGGTAAATAGATTCAATGACTAACTGGGCATTCAAAATGGCCCAAAGTTAATTTTAGTATCCCTCAAAACAAAAACAAGAAGAAACTAATTAGCTAGTACATAATGAATCTTATCTTACAGTAAAGGAACCTGAGAATTTTGGTCGAAAACACTGAGTGAATATGCCACAGATAGGTAGTCAACAAAGAATGAGGGAAAAGAGTGGGAAAGGTTTTTTTTTTTGTTTTTTTTTTAAAGATTTCTTTGTGCATACAGAACTGGGGTACAGACCAGAGGTACAGGGGTGGTGAGAGGATTCCCCAGAGACAGAGTGGGGTGCAGAACAGGCAGCTTGAGGAAGCACACTGCTGAGGGGAAGAGCAGGCGGGTCAGGAGAGGTCTGCCGTGCCATGTGGACAAGGATCACCTCTGTGGCTGGGATTGAACTCGCACTGAAGCTGCTGTGGCCAGCTTGCAATGCTGCGTCCTAACCCGGTGAGCCATCAGGGTGGGCCCAAGAGCGCAGAGGGTTTTAATAGCTTATTCAAATCAAGAAGCAAACTGGTATGTCCAATCTATTGAAGAATTTATGAATTTTGAAAATAGGGAATTAAAGAAATGCTTGCCAAGTTTTTCTTCATATTTGTATCCTAAGTCATAGTTACAATCAATTTAGGGGTAAAGACAACTCAAATTTATTAAGAATTTCTTTATAAAAACTTAGTTTTAAGTTGATGTTTACAGAAAACAGTCACTTTAAATCACTTTGCAATTCAGTATCTAACATGGCTACCTGGTTTCTGGTCAATTAGCTGTTCTGTTAGTACTTAACTATATGAGTACAAATCAAACTTTTTAAGGTTAGATTTACTAATCTTTTGACAACCAAGACACTGGGAACCAAGTGTACTTGTGAAAACGTAAGAGTATAATAATTTTATTTTTCAAGTCAAGAACTTTTGGAATGAAACTTGATACCCAAGATATCAGAGATTCTATTCTTGTTTTTTTTCTTTAAAGCTTTATTCATTTATGCACACAGAACTGGGTAGTATAGGCCAGAGGCACAGGTGTGGTGAGAGGTTTCACCAAAGTCAGAGTGGGGAGCAGAACAGGCCAACTGATGAAGTACACTGCTGAAGGGAGCAGTGGGTGGGCCAGGAGAGGTCTTCTGAGCCATGTGGATCACCTCCGGGGCTGGGGATCAAACTGGCACTGAGGCAGCTGAGGCTAGCTTGCAGTGCTGCACTTTAACCCACAGGGCCACCAGGGAGGCTTCTCAGAGATGCTGCTGTATTAGATTGAAATGGAACACATGTATGGGAAAACCAGCAATGGGAACTCCAGGTACCATTCATTCCTAAAACAAACACTTGAGCTTATACAGAAGAATTACAGAATTTGATGTGAAGATAAACCTAAGGAAAATTAGAGATGGTTTAAAACATCTACCTTGTATGTGATATAGTTTTCTTATGACAGAGCCAAAGGTCACATCAAGTATGGGCCACTAGGACAATATATACTTAATCACTAAGTTTTGGAGGTGAATATACAAATTCAAAACTCCTGGATTAGTAGTATCAGAGTCTAACAGTAAAGGTATATTTTCCTTTGTGAAACTGCTGAAACTGAGGCTAAGAACTGACATCAATGATATAAAGCAGGAGACAACACTAAAGATGTACAAGTACTTGAAAATTATAATTGTAGCTGGTTTCCCCCGTGGTTTTGGAAGACAGCTGGCTTGAAACAAGATCCAACCATGCACTGTCAGAATTGCTTTAAAAAACCAGTTCACAGGCCTTTGCTCTCAAAACTTTCCCATGTATAACCTGATTTGTGGTCATGTGGTCCTGAGTACTGAAATCACTCACATTATTAGACTGTCATGAAAAATGTCCATGCTCAAATGACAAAGGACCTGGCTCAAAAGCTGAAAGGGAGTGTAATAAATTCAAGTCCATAATGTGGGTCAGTTTAATACTTACACGTCTCCAAATGCTTTGGGGCTAGATTCATTACCAGAGAACTATATAGAGCTATCTAAGGAGATTGAAGTGAACCAGCGCATCCTGAATATCTTAATACTATACAGCTGATATAAGGGCATCTTTTATAAATGAAGATTTCTCATGGACCACCCACATAGCTGAAATGAATTCTTACTATTTATTCCTAAAAATATATAACCCCTATGAGAATGACACGTATGTTTTCAAGAACCCAGTATTGAATTGTTGGCCTTCTTTAGATCTTTTATCTAACAAGTAAAACTTAGCCATTATCCATAAGTAGGGTCCACAGATAAGTAACAAGCCTGTCTTCAAAGTCATAGCTGGCCTCAAGGAACCGAAGCTTAGGGAATGCAAGACAGACTTCTTATGAAAATAACCTTACCGGTCTGTCAACCTGCATGATCTCCCAGAGCACTTCGGCCACATCTGGCAGGGTGTAGGGGGGGAGACAAAAGCAGCATGTGTGGAGCAGCTGGCTTACAAGTTGCTGTCCGAGCTGGTTCATCACTTGTCCAATCAGTTCTTTCCGTAACTCAAAATCTTCTTCATGCTGGAAGAAAACATGAGCAACAGAGAAATCTCTATTCTCAATTTCCCAAAGACCAAGTTCTTTTTCTCCTTTAGTACAACGATTCTCTTCCCTGGAAGAAAGTGTTTATTTTACATTAACAGCTAGATTTACAAAGTCTACTAAATGTTTTGACACTAGGAAGAAAATACTAAGAGTTTAGTCTCAAAGAAATGGGAATGGGTTTCAATTAAGATTAACCTTAATTGTGACATTTTTCATGAATAGAAGGCAGAAAAGAATAACCGTTAAAGACAAGGGTTAGCTATTTTTCTTTTTTAAGATTTATTTATTTATTCATACAGAACTGGGGTACAGGCCAGAGATGCGGAAGGTGAGAGGATTCACCAGAGACAGAGTGGGGAGCAGAACAAGCAGATGATCAAAGTACACTGCTGAGGGGAGCAGCAGGCGGGTCAGGAGAGGTCTGCCTCGCCATGTGGTCACCTCCGGGGCAGGCGGGAATTAAACTCATGTGGAAGTGGCTTTAGCTTCTCAGTGCTGTGCTTTAACCCGCTGCACCACCAGGGAGGGCCCAGGGTTAGCTATTTTTTAAATCTTTTCTTCTGTAAAAATAAAGTACCTATTTCCTTAAAAAAAAAAAAAACTGAAAAAATATTTCTATCAGATTGTTAAATCTTTTCTATGAAAATATTTCTTCTTAAGACTCTGAATACATAGAGTTCCAACATCTTATAGGGAATAAAACCTTGCCTTTTAGTTTATTTTCTTTTCTGTCCTTTAACTGATAAATTTCTTTAATAATTCTATTCACATACCAGCTTACTTCTTCACTGCTTCCCCTTATCTTCAATTTTACTCCACATCTATCCAAAATGTATATTTGAAAACTCTGTAAACACTGTATCATTCCAGCCCAACAGATGTCTTAGTATTACTAGATGTCTAGTGTTATCCTCCCTTTTGTGAGTATAATTCCTACATACCCTGGTTAGACTCTCCCTACTCTCCAATCCATCAAGATTCTATTTTTATCTTATGGGCCGATTTAAGTCCTCCTTCCTCCAGAAAGTTACCCCAGTCCACTTCTGTACAAGAGCTTTCTCACTCTTCTGATCTCACATTCATCTGACAAATGCTACTTTACTGCTGTTTACTTCACTCTGCACCTATTTAATTCTTCAAATAGACACCAAGTGTTTAGAAACTGAGATATCAGATTGTTTTATACAAATTATAACATTTAGAACAGGCTGTCTTAAATCTAATATTGACATTTTGGCAAGTGAATAATCAACTCCTGTATATGCCTATCAATACAAAATCAAATAAGGAAGGTACTATCTTCCGCACAAGGAATGAGGAAGAGATATGAGAAGGCAATGAGCTGCAAAATTGAAATGGCATCATGTTTGTACTTACATCATTGGCTACCCCTGTATGGATGAGGTCTCGTAGAAACCGCATGACACTACAGTTGGCATCCCGGTGGTCCAGGGTAGTAGAGGCAATGGCCCACTGTAATATGGGAATGACCACCTGGCTCCTCAGCAAGGTGACAGGGCTACGCTGGATAAACCTGGTGTGGAAAGACAAAGTATAAAACACAGGATTAGGCTATCAAAGCAACTAGGGTAAAAAGCAACCTATGGAGAAAGTAAAAAGATCAGTGGTTACTGGGGGCCAGGAGGAGGGCAGATGAACAGGCAGAGACCTGTGGGTTTTTTTAGGGCAAACTACCCTTTATACTATAGTGGTGGATATATGTCATACATTTGTTCAAAGCCAAGGATATATAACCAGTTCTAACCAAGGTACCACAATGGTGGGGATGTCAATAGTGGGAAAGGCTGTGGGGGAAGAGGAGGAGATACATGGGAATGCTCTATACTTTCCACTCAATTTTGCTCTTTTATTATGTGAAAATAAAGTCTATAAAAGGAAAAGAAAAATAATCAGGGCAAGGAAAGGACCATATTTTAAATAACTATCTGCAAAGCTATATTCCCCAAAATCAATTTTTGACCAAAATTTTATAAGTCAAGTCAGGTGGATCCGAGAAGGATCGGTTAAATGGGCTTTTAAATAGAAACTCTTCCAGGATAAAAAGTCAAGTCTTGCAGGAGTATAACAGATCAGGCGAGAAAATAATAATAATAATGAACAGCTATATACCAGAGACATTTTATGGGGGTGGAATGGGGAATGGGATCAAAAACAAATGGGGGGAGGGAAATGCACTGGACTGTGGTGATGGCACAGGGTGAAATGGTGATGGGAAGCCCATGGGTATTACAACTGTGATAGAAAAATGCACAAAGTGATGTAAAAGTCAACTATAAAAAAATTAAGTCTTAAAAACCCTAGAAAAGCATTTCCCAAATGACATTTCTTAGAATGCCAGTTCCTAGGACATTAACAGGAATTCCTCAAAGAAAAGCTGGTATAACAACTAAATTCAAGAATTTTTTTTTAAAGCGTGTTGTTTTTTATTTTACTATAAGCTTTTCAGATCCTTTAAAATATACAGACTATCTCTAATGATAAAACAAGTTGACAATCCACCCAATAATTCTTTCCTATCAATTTAGAAAGTTATTTGTAACCTCTTCAAAAGCCAACAACAAATGTTTAATATTCTATTTATAGATGAAACAGTCAAGCGAGTACTACATTTGTAAATTTTATAATTACATATTTAAGTCCATCTACTTTCTACTTGTATGTGGATGTAAATATATCTATATATATTCACATGTATATATCCAATATATTACATATGTAATATATTTAACAATGACTTTAAAAAAAATTTAATATAGCTTATTTTTACATCATTTTGTGTCCTTTTCCATCTCAGTTGTAATCCCCATGGACTTCCCATCACCAGTTCACCCGTTTGCCATCACTATAGTCCTGTATACTGCCCCGTCCTACCTCATATCAGATCCCATTCCCACTCTACCCCTGTAAAATGTCTCTGGTATTTAGTTACTCATCATCATTATTTATTTATTTATCTCCACCCCCAACCCCTGGTCCTTTATGCTCCTGCTATGAGTGAAACCATCTGGTATTTTTCCTTTTCTTTCTGGCTTATTCACTAAGCATGATCCCTTCCAGCTTCTTTCACACTGCTGCAAAAATGCATGAGTTTATCTTTTTGTGATGACTGAGTAATATTCCACTGAGTATATGTACCACATATTTTTAATCCAGTCATCTACTTTTGGGCATTTGGGTTAATCATGTCTTTCCTATTGTAAGTAAAGCAGCAATAATAAACATGGAGGTATAGGTGTCTTTTTGAATCAGTGTTTTTGCGTCTTTTAGGTAGAAACCTAGGAATGGGATTGCTAGGTCATATGGAAGCTCCATTTTTAGCAGTTTGAGAAATCGCCAAACAGCTTTCCATAGTGTTAGTACTAGTTTACATTTCCACCAGCAGTGCTGGAGAGTTCCTTTTCCTCCACAGCTTCGCCAACATTTGTTGTTACTAGTTGTTTTAAGATGTGCCACAATGGCTTATGTTTTATAAATGTTTTTATGTTAACTGTTCGGTTAAAATTTTCTTAGCTGACAAATTCCCTGGGCAGGAATTCAAAGACTAAGCAATAAGCAAGGTGGCAGGACTGAGAAATACTGTAACTGATAACTTCTGAAGCACCTTAAAATCCTAAGAACTTTTTCTTTTCAGATATGATTATATCTAAAGGATGTTAAGCTTCTCAAGGAAAAGAGCGAAGATAAATCATGACTTCACAGTAGCATTAAACTTTAAAACTAGTGGGGACTCTAAGAAATTATCTAGTCTAGTATTTTTACTGAGCTTGTTTTTATTGTTTTGTGCATGTTCCCTTTCTCGTGACAGGCATTCTGCTACTTTCCCTGCTCCAAATCACTCCTCTTCCTCACTAATGAGAATATGGTGTCTCAGAACTTAACATGGATTCAGAACCATTAATCTACCTACTCCACTCACCTCATTCTACAGACACCCAACAGTGAAATAGATGGTAAGACTATGCAGTGAAGGGAATGAACAGTAAAGGGAAAGGTGTTTCTTTGGAAGAACTGACCTGGTGGCTAGCCTGAACAGGTCGTCCACGGTGTCTGGGTGATTCTGTAGCCCATTCTGTTGTTCTAGGAGCTGAAAGGTAGGGATGCACAGTGCCTAAAAGAGAACAGTCATTTTAAAACAAATGTTTGTATACAAATGCCATGGTATTCAAACTTGCTAAATATCGTTAACACATACAAAGGGAACAAAGACCAGAAACAGGAAAAGAATGATGAGAAAACACACATTTTTCTAAGTTGACAGAAAGTTTTCATATACAAGTTAACATTTCAAAAAGGACAGGGTATAGATTTTAATTAAAAAAATTTTTAAAAAAGATTTACTTATGGGCCCTCCCTGGTGGCGCAGCAGGTTAAAGCACTGCACTGAGAATCTAAAGCCGCTTCTGCATGAGTTCGATTCCCGCCGGCCCGGGAGGTGACCACATGGCGTGGCAGACCTCTCCTGACCCGCCCACTGCTCCCCTCAGCAGTGTACTTCATCGATCTGCCTGTTCTGTTCCCCACTATGTCTCTGGTGAAGCCTCTCACCGCCCCTGAGCCTCTGGCCTGTACCCTGGTTCTGTATGCACAAATAAATAAATCTTTAAAAAAAGAAAAGAAAAAGATTTACTTATGTATACAAGAGCTGGGATGCAGGACAAAGGTGCAGGATGGTGAGAGGATTCACCCAAGACAGAGTGGGAGTGCAGGAATAGGCAGATCTACTGAAATACACTCCTGAGGGGAGGGACAGGAGAGGTCTGCCATGCCACATGGGTCACCTCCTTGGCCATAGATTGAACCTGTATTCATGTTGATATACTTTAACCCACGTGCCACCACGATGGGGAGGGCTGATTTTAGTAAATTAAACTGGATAAATGTCACCTCAGAGTTTTAAAGTTTCTGACAGTAAAGGCTTTGACTTATATAGTAGATATGATCTAGTTTGCCAAGAGAGCTGATGAAGATTTAATAATAACAATAACAATGTCATTTTAAAAGTGGGGACATCTTGGGAAAACAAGCATCATGATTTAACTATGTAATAATATTTCACCTTCACATGGCTAGGAGAGGGAAAACCATGGTTTCCCGATGCCTGCTAATTAGCCCAAGACCTTTCTCCAAAGAAAAACTGATCACTGCCTGTTTCAGGCTTAAAATTAAAAAATAAAATCATTGGAGTCAATTGGAGCTTGGAGGTCCTTTATTTTAAATCCATTTGCCCACCTCCCCAAAATCCTGTAGGCAAAAATGTCAGGCAATAATAGCTGTGTTTGATTGCTATGTTTATGTGCTATTTTCTCTTTCATTCTCCCAGGCAGATAACAATTAGAAAGTTCCTGCCTCCCTCCCAGTTTTTAGGAAATGACATGCATAAAGTGGGGGAGGACATAAAGAAGCAACAGTAACGAACACATAACAAAGAACATAGAGGTATAGGCAGTGAGACCACCAAGCCCCATGAATCTCTACTGCAAAGAAAAACATACCTGGAGCATATCTAACAGTCCCTGTCGACAGCCCTCTTCCATGCCATATTCATCCACAAGGATACTGCCAAGGTAGAGGAAACAGGAATGCTGATGTACATGGTACACATTCACCATCTGCCAAGGGAAAAACCAATTCTTTACCCCTCAAAAAGTATCAGCGATTGCTCTCTTCACTTGAAGGCAACATAGTGAAACTTGTAGGCACACTTTTTTAAACACAATGCTCAGTGACTGATGATAAACTTTTAAGACTTTGAATTTTTATCTTTCCAAAACAATGTTGTATGAGAGCTGTACAATATTTCAAGGCTAAATCATTAGGCCATTATTATTCAAGGCTCGAGTAATATTTACAAAACCCTACCACAGTCTACTTTTTTCCTCAACACCTGAAAGAGACAAAAGTATTAAATTTCCTTATCAGAGGAAACTGAATGCACTGTTTATTTTGAGTAGCTCCCTGTATTTAATCTTTTAGGTTTAAAAATAAAAACACACTAAGTACAAGAAAACTACCATTTACTATTCATAAACAAGCTATCTGGATCTGACCCAAATAAAAACTTTTATACACATGTTGAAGTTAAATGACTTGTTTGGATCTTTACTCCAAAATCCTCCAAACTGTGATACCTGTATATTCGTCTCTTCAAAGTGACATCACAACACAAATGTATCAATTATCACGTAAATTCAACTCAGTGAATTTTGGTGTAAAATAAATGATAAGCATATACATGGCATAAGCATGAGGGGTGCAGTAAATCTGTTCAGTGTGGTATTTGCAAAAACTATACGCTCTACTTAATGGATAATTTAAGTCTGTCATTGGCAAACTTTTACTTACATGGCCAGGTAAAGTAAAAATTTTTGGATTTGCTGGTCATACAAAGTCACTTTCTGACTCTTCAGACTTTGCACAGGAACACAAAGACAGCCCATAGATAATACTTACATGAGCATGTCTATCTCTCAGTAAAAATTTTTTCATAAGCAGTGGCTGGATGACCTCTGATTTATGGAATTTTTAGTAATTGTCATTTTTGTCACACGTGCTAACTTCAGAACATACTTCCCATATAAAATGTTAACAACTGCTCAATTGGTCCCATATTAATTAGCAAGAATAAACAAAATAGCATCAAAGTCATAAGGGTGTCCTCCAACAGCAGGAAAAAGATAAGCTACATGAGAACACACAGCCTAAATGCAAGCTGATATACTCAGGGCATAGTAAATGTAGAAAATCATTAAAATTCTAATTCAACACTTAAGGAGGCAAGATTGTGCATGTGTTGACACTGCAATAATACTAACCCCGTCCCCCAAGGTCGATGCTTAAAAGCAAGAGGCACCCAGGGTGTAGAACTTAAGGTGACAACCAGTGTCAAGGTTAGGGCCCCCCCCCCAAAGATAAAGGAAAGTTATCTCAGGTGGGGGCGGTTGGTCTAGCCTAAGGCATGTGGTAGTTTTCCTCACAGCATGGATGCGAAATTTAAAAAGGAGCTGCGCTTGGTCCTATAGGCCCTACAGACACCCTGCCTTGCCTTCCTCAACTGTGTGCCTACGCATGGCTTGGTTAACATCTACATACATTATTTATTGACGAAAATCACTTGTCATCTAAGTCTCATGTGGAGTAGTTCTGGATGTGAATATGATTTTAGAGAACCTCACACAGTGAGTTACATCGTCAACAAATTAACTATAAATCTTGGTGAATGAGACATCTGGTTCTTGACAAATAAGACTAATGTGAACAACAATGACCAATACAGAAGAAAACAGTAAAGTCTGACTTGCAACAATTTTAAAAGTGAAATTTAATATAAAAATGCTTAGCATTGGTATACAAGAGCTGATTATTAAAGCATTCTCTTCCTGACTTCACAATGGGATGTGCTATTGAAACTATCTCTAGATTGAACAGATTACAATCTCCCTCGTAAATAACACACCTACCACAGGTGCTAATTACCTTTCAAATATTTCTATGTTATATTAGAAGTATAAAAGTACTTCATTTCATCCAATTTTTATTCTAAAGTATTCTATTTTAACTTCTGCACGTTACGTCTCCCCCTCCTGGAACTTACCTGTGTAACTAGTGGCTGTAAAAGGGCTGCAGAACCTTTGCCCACACAGCGAACAGCAAAGCGGAGACATCTGCAACAACGTTCTACAATCCGATTATCAGCCCGGTGCTTATTCAGGGTCTCAGATAAAACTGGCCATATCTGAGGCAAAAGTGAGAGTTCAAGAAAGAAAATTTTGACAATTAAGAGCTAAGGGAAAAAGTTTCCATGCTGGTAACAAAGGAGTTGGTTTGTAAGTAATTTGGGAAAAGTTTCCTTTAAGGAACAAACCTGCCTGAATCTGGTCAGTGTGAATGTATACTGTTCCATACACTATCCAGTAATGAACCACCATCACTTCTTAAGGAAAGCACAGCAATTCTTTGTTATTTTAAAAAGATCTACCTATGCATACAAGAACTGGGATACAGGCCAGAGGTACGGGGGGGTGAGAGGATTCCCCAGAGACAAAGTGGGGAGCAAAATTGCTAGATTGGATACTGCTGAGGGGAAGCAGTGGGGAGACAGGGGAAGTCTGCTGCACCATGAGGGTCAGCTCCCTGGGCAGGGATCGAACTCATGCTATAGTGGCTGTGGACAGCTTCAAAGTGCTACACTTTAATCCCTTGTTCCACCAGGAAGGCCCACACAGCAATTCTTTAGAATAGGATTAGTGTATGTCAAACTTTGCTAAAATACAAAGACACACATTTTCCAAAGCTTTGGACTTCCTGAGTCAGGATAAAATGAATTAATGAGTTACAGAGAATGCAATATTTAAAGATAGTTCCAGAAAGTTGGGAGACCTGGAACAGATGGACCAGAGTGAAGTGAGTATCAAATGGCATCATCTGATATTGCCGAACACTTAAGGATACTTGACATTTCCTCCCTCAAATCTGAAAAGCACTTCTCAAAACATGTCATTTGATCTTTATATTCCCCTCAGTGAAAAAAAGTAGATGGGAAGTATATTATCAATGGGAAACTAAAGCCATGAGGCTAAACTGGTCTCGTCAAAAATATTTGTGATTGTTGATTAGGATCCTCGAAACTCTAGGAGTCACAAGGTTTTTCTCTCTTTACGTCTTTGGCTTTTTAAGGCATTTTCCCATAGCCTATTCTCTTTAACAAATCTAAAATTCAAAAAATATTTGAATGGTTTTCTGCCCTTTTTCACTGAAATGTAAACCATATCAAAAAAATGAATCTTCTAAATGAACCTAAAAGACATTTCCTTTTCACTTTAGTTATACAAAGTCTTAAAAGAAAAACAAAAAAAGGGTTATTCCACAAACATCTTTTAGCACTTACTTCCTGTATGACTTTTTGGCATGGATGAGTCTGTCCATTTTCCACAATGGGATTGGTGTGTCTGGATAAAGACAACAGATCAAAACAATGAAAGAAGAACAATTTCATTAAAGACTACAGAATCACTGACCTACATACTAAAAAAATTACATTTTGAAGAAAGTTTTTTTTTTTTTTGGACAAAGGGAACAAGTTCTTGAGTTTGCCTTTTCCCCCAAAGTTTCAGGCTTAATCAATTTCCTGACAGAAGATTATAGCAGTACTTAAAAGTTTGAGGAAAAAAAAAACGCCTGTTTGTTTCAACATATAATGAATGACCTCATCTGAGCTTTTAACCCAAGACAGGCATTTAGTATCCCTTTTTACCTAAATATTACTGCAAGGCGATCTAAGAACACAGTGGGATCTGAGGATATGCCATTGCTGGGCTCCTGAGACAACAGCTGAAGAAACAGAGAGACATTCCAGTCATTACACATACAGACCTGCAGCAAACCCCTGCAACATGCATCTTTATACAGCAACCTCCATCAGCAATCTCTTACTTCCTTGTAATAGTTTCCTGAAAGTCACTCAAATGATGTAAGCTTTTAAATTCATACTACCAAATTACTTTTTTCCATCTTCCTGAATTCCAGCAAAGATGGCACATGACTACATTTTACTATATGAACACTAGTGAACAGAAAACTATCAACTAATTTTTCACTTTTATGATTAAGATACTATGTATGTATAACCTGAAACATGTTCAAACCAATGTCACCTCAAAAAAAAAAAAGATCAGTTAAAAAGATGTCAACACTCCTACTTCCACAGAAAGTAAATTTAAAGCTTTTAAAAATCAAAAGATGCTATCTGCTTAGAATACCTGTGTCACTTCTAATTGTATTCTGGTAGACCGAAAATCAATGAGGTAGTAACTTTATTAAGAAAACCAACTTCTCTCAGTCTGAGAATAAAGGACAGGCCTTTATGCACAGTGGATCCCTTCATGTTCCCCTGCTCCCAACCTAAAACATAGGTCCCAATGATACCAGATTTTCCTGCTTCTGAGGAGTTTGAAACAGGATTTAGATGACCCCTCTCAACTTATAAAGCAGTGTCGGCTTTATAAGATCCAAAAATTCTGGCATGTTTTATTGCTCTATAGGGTTCCCCTTTGTCATTTATATCTTCTCCCCAAAACTCTTGCTGTCCAACCATGAACTGTGTGCCCATTTCCCTTTTGGCATAACTAGATTCTCAGACTTGGTTAGAAACCTGCTTTTACCTTTCTCACACTGCTCAAAATCCCAGCAGTTGCTAAGACCAGTCTGTTCTGCTTCTATTACCATAGCACCTAACATGTATAAGGTAAGTCTACTGTACAAGACAAGAAGGGATGGGGCAGAATGGGCTATGGTGGAGGACTGTGGGTACCTTGGCAGTGGGTGTGGTATGGTGTAGTGACATACATCTGAGGAGGTGGGACTCTGCCTTTGAAACAGTGTTGTTAACCAATGTCACCACAATTAAAAATATACATTAAAAAAACAAAAAACATTTAGCTATGTTTACATAGGAAATAAAGCATATACTTTCTAGATGTAAAATGGGTATATATTTCACCAAACATTTCAAGTCCTCATTTAATATGGATTGAATCTGTCTGAAATTCCATATAATAAACTCATTGGCATAAGTATAACCTTTTTTATTCTGGAAATTATTCTAAAAAGTATCATTGCTGGGTATTCTAATAATATTTTTTATATTTCTTCTCTTTTTGTTACATATGTATTTTTACGTCACTCTTCATTTTATACATTTTTTCATCTCAGTTGTAATCTCCACGGACTTCACCACCACTTCCCCCATGTGCCATCATCACAGCCCTGTGTGTTCTTCCCACCCCCATTTTGATTCTGTTCCCTTTGCCACCCCCAAAGAATGTCTCTGCTAATTTTAGTTTTTACATTATTACAATTACTCTTTTTTTTTTTAGTTCTGATCCCTTATAATCCTGCTATGAGTGAAACCATCTGGTAATTTTTTTCTTTCTGGTTTATTTCACCAAGTATGATCCCTTCCAGCTCGATCCATGTTGCCACAAATAGCGTGAGTTTATCTTTTTCGATTACAGCTATGCTACTTTGAGTGGCTCTTTGGAATGTCGATTAACTCTTCATCTACATACAAATAAATTCTAAGGAAAAAAGCATGCTAAAGATTTCTTACTGAAATACTAATTGATTACTAATTAAAAGATATTACATACATTACATATAATGCACATTTTGCTTATATTCTAAAGTTTTAAATCAAAGTTTTTTATTAATATCTGTTAAAAGATAAGGCAAGCTGTCTCAAATTCCTTTTTCCTAAAATTTTGTAAGGTACTTCAAGAAGTTATCAGTGCAGATGGACTTTAGAATGTCAAGTGCTCCTAAAAACCCCATCAGTATGTTTACTGTTAATGTCCTATATATATATATGTAATTTAGGAAGAGCTGATAACTTTAACTTTTCAGTTCATTCTCTTAGATTTTTTTATGTAGATAAAAAGATTACTGGTAAATAAAAGCTTTTTCCATTATATATGCAAATATCTTAAATTTGTTATGCACCTTATTTAATTGAACTCACCTTTTTCAGTGCCATAACCTGAACAGAACATAGTTCACTAAGACACTCAGTAATCTTATCCAAAGGTAATCTGGCTAGGACAAGTGCTGTCCCTGAAAGACAAAAGAAGGTACCAATGAGGAAAAATAAAAGCGAAATTGAGGTAACTCACAAGTCTCCATCAAATGGGTAACAGAAAAGAGTAACCAGTTCCATTTTTTTTTTTTTGAAGATTTATTTCATTTTATTTATCTGTGCATACAGAACTGGGGTACAGGCCAGAGGCTCAGAGGCGGTGACAGGCTTCACCAGAGACAGAGCGGGGAGCAGAACAGACAGATCGACAAAGTACACTGTTGAGGGGAGCAGCGGGCGGGTCAGGAGAGGTTTGCCACGCCATGTGTTCACTTCCGGGGCAGGCGGGAATTGAACTCATGCAAAGTGGCTTTAGCTTCGGTGGCCCTCCCTGGTGGCACAGCGGGTTAAAGCATAGCACTAAGAGGCTAAAGCCACTTCCGCATAGTTTGATCCCTGACTGCCCCATAGGTGATCCACATGGCACAGCAGACCTCTCCTGACCCACTCAATGCTCCCATCAGCCGTGTACTTGTTAGTCAGCCTGTTCTGCTCCCCACTCTGTCTCTCGTGAATCCTCTCTCTGCCCCTGTACCTCTGGCCTGTACCCCAGTTCTGTATGCATAAGTAAATAAATCTTTTAAAAAAATGTTAAAAGAAGAGTTAGGTTAAAGTGGGAATCAAAGGTCCAGATGCCTCCCACTCAAGTCTCTTGTCACAATCTCTACCAACTGTTGATGTTATCTACCCAAATCCAAAGTGTTACACATTAGGCTAGGTCCCTTGTAGGCCAAAAATTCTTAAAATATGATTTTTTTTCCATTTCCTTTTCCTGAAATCTCATTCAACAAAGTAGTACTTAAACCATAAATACAATATGATGGCAGAGCGAATTTTCCTGGGAGTTTGTAAGCCTTTGATAAGTTAAGACTTTTACTTAAAACCAGTGGAAATCTAACTTAAATGATTTCTCCTTTTAATTCATTCTTATTAAGAAAATAAAAAGTTTTTACATCTATAAGATATTATGGATAGCAGGAATTACCACATTTTACCACATGTCACTTAAACACCAAAGTGCAATTTCACCAGAAAAGGGGCTCCCTGGTGGTCTAGGGGTTAAGTGTCAGCATTATCACCACTGCCACCTAAGTTCAATCTCCAGCCAGGGAGCTGACCCACATGGCACAGCAGACCTCTCCTGTCTCGCTAGCTGCTCCCCTCAGCAGCGTATGTCAGTGGATCCCCCTGTTCTGCACCCCACTCTGTCTCTGGTGAATCTTCAAACCCTCTTCACCCCTTTACTTCTGGTCTAGACCCCAACTCTTATATGCATAAATGAATAAATCTTTTAAAATATTCAGAAACGGATAAAGTGCCAGCAATGACCATTAAATAATGGTTCAGCTGTGAGACTATTAGGTTCTCAGCTCATGCCTTATTTTCTATGTACAAAAAGGAAATCTGTCCTGGATAAAGCATAGTTACACTAGATGGTAAAGAACGTGGTCACAGAAATGAGACACACTTAAGGCTATCCTATCTTGCCAAGGCTGTCAGCCACTCAAAGAGGTTTAAAAGATATTGTACAGGACACATAAACCAATTCTTTACTTAATAAGCCCCAGTCCTCCCTAAATCAATAACCACAATGAATTCACTACCTAACAGGATACCCCAAACTGTTTCCTGAGAGTTTGGATATA